CACTAATCAATGCCAGCCAATAAATGCGGTAATTGCATAGATTTTCACGCTATATACGATCAATTTTCTTGTGCATACATTACCTTTATGTTATTAAAAACTTTCGTACTTGAAATTTTGCAAATTTCTCCACAAGATATAAAATCGAAGGCCACACGCGAGACACACCACTATTTTATTCAACAAAACATCAAAATTGTCAAATTGACAGATAGGTAAAAAAAACATCAATGTATCGAGCAACATCGATTGCCATATCTTCAAACATCGATGTTTGTCGATGTTTTCCAATGAATTGGTGAATTTTCGGTACCCAGTACTCGGTACCCAATACTACAAACAGATTTCGGTACCCAGTACTTCCTTTTCTGTGCCCAATACCGATTCTTTACATTAAACCTGCGCCGCTGTATATGTATATTTCAAGTTTATAAAAAAAATATTTAATACTATTTTATTTGAAATCGGCTAAAAACACTTTTTACCGTAGTAGATCCAAGGTTCAGGAAAAATGCTGCCGACGGATGAAGTAACCTTTCAAGCCTACAAAGATATTTAAGACAAAAATGCTTCAGCCAAGAGTTCCTCTGCCTTATGGCGACGGGCCGACATACATATGTCCATACATAAATTTTTTATTTGAATCAAAATTAAAAGCTTTCTTGACCTCTTTTCTATCTTTACCGCCAAGCAAAATTATATGTATACATGTTTATAAGCTGGCGAAGTTTTACCGAGCCCCATGAGAGAAATATCAAATTATTACTTTGATCTGTCAAAATTTCCTCTTTTCTATCAATTGGCACAGGTGCTAAGTAGGCCATCTTAAATTGGGCCTTAAGAATACAGTGGCACCGAAACTGCTCGTAATGCTGAATACACACGAGGCAACCGTTGCAACAACCTAGGCATGTCAGCATACTAAAGTTTTAACATTTTCCAACAAATGTATAAAAAATATTTCAGCCAGTGCAAGATTTCAAAAACGAGAATAGGTATTTGAATAGACTATTCCTTCTTATTTGTAAGCCAGACGACACCGCTAGGAAAACTGTATAAAAAAAGTTCTCACTTACATTTGTATGTACACAAATAACACGTATTAATGACCATTTTTTATTTTGTATTTATTTTTTATGTATCCAAAAAAAATTGGCGCCCACTTTATCATCTACTCCAAACTAACTATCATGTTCAGCAGCGATTTGGCTATGAACTTTGATGAATTCTTTGTAAATACTTTGAAAACAGATGGTCCTCATGAAGTGTGTGCTAGCTGGAGCTTGTTGACTGCGCTTATACAGGGTGATGTTGAAAATGTGCAAATTAACAATTTGAATTTGGCTCAAGATGTTGTGCGCTTGAATATGCCGCATGCGTCTTTGACTGCGCCAAAGACCGTTAAGGTATCAAGTATTGAAAAACTGTGTCCTACAAGAAGCAGTACCATAAATCGTGTACCAGTCGCTGATTGGCTACAACAGGCGGTGTATGTGCACGGCAATCATACCATAAACGGTATAACCACTCTTGATACCGTTAACATGTACAACGATTTAAGCGTATTCGGAATAGTTAATAATATTTCGAATTTTGGTGAACAAACTTTACTACTGCGCAATTTGCACCAAACGTTGCATGGCGATGTACACATCAATAATTTGTTTCCCAAAGAACGTCGCATACTAGTGAATAATTTTGAAAACCTACGCGCCAAAAGCGTTAACGGGCAAACAGTTGATGCATTCTATAAGGATCAGGCAAAATTATCTAGTGTAGTTGTGGTTGAGGGAAATTTGGCATTTATGCAACCTTTAGTGGTGCAGGACTACCACAATCGAGGGGCTCGGGAAGCGATGTGGAAGCGAACGTCTTCAACAATTGATGAAGTTATGCGAACAAGCAATGAACTCTCGCAGATGCCTAGTTGGAAAACAACGCTTACAATGGACCGGAAATTGAGACGATCCCTTAAAGGTACATTTGTTTTGCAGATAGAAATAATTGCAAATAGATTTAATTTCCAAAAAAAAATATCTCTACTTCCAGCGACCTTTTATGCCCTTAATAAATTTAATATTCGTCAAAAACTGAAAACAAATGGAACGAAAATAGTATCCTTCAAAATAAGCGAGGAAAATGGTCAAACGATGGATCTTATAGGAGTCGTTGATGAAACAAACAAAATTTCGACAGTGCAATATTATCAATGGTCAATACAAGAAGCGCATTTTCGCCCTATTCAAGGTAAGTTTTTATGTATCAATTGAATCATATTATGGCTCAAGTTCGATAGTTTTCTGAGCGTCTTGTGAAAAGGTATAAATTGATTTTTATAACTTTAGCAAAAATTTAGATATTTCTACGAAACGATGAACAGCACCCTATATGAACCTAATTCTAAAAAAAAAAAATACGAAAGTTGCGATATTTGAGTAGTATTCGAGTCAATTCGCTTTAAACTGATATTTGCCAAAGCCGTTTACCCGGCGTTTTCATGGGGCAATATTGCCAAGACAATAGCTTAACTCTTTTTCACTAATACACCCACACAAAGACAATTGAAGGGGTTAGAATCAAAAGGATCTGACGTTCTTTTAAGATAATTAAAGTTAAAGTTGATTACTTATTGTAAGTTCTGGGTAAATTTATTTGAAATGATTCCTGCCTAAATGAATGCAGGTTAATTAACTAATTCAAAGAATGTTTACTCTTTGTCACCAAATAAATACTATATTTAACTATACAAATATGGGTATAACTTTTATTTTCAAAAAATATCACTTAGACCCTTATGATTCTAAGCTCCTCTTCGTCACTGTCTTCGATTTTTCGAAGACAATGAATTGGACAATTTGGTCACGTCTTGGTTAATTTGAGAAAAAGAGGCATGACAAAATCGCAGAATTACGAAAGTTTGTGTTTGGATATTTTAGTAAAAAATTCGCGCCAAACGAAAATAACGGCGGTGGCTGAAAAATGTCTTTATAATTGTCTGGACGCCTACTTTACACAACAATTTTAAAACTAATACGTATTCTCAATTGTCTTATGTAAAGGCAGCGTTAGGGGTAATATTAATAATATTACTATTTTGGCTCTTACATGTTTGGCCAAGCTTCTCTTCCTGTTTGTGGTGTGCGTCCTGATGTTAGATAGATAGACAGATAATAAATTGAGGTTTGCCCCGCGGCCTCGGGGTCTATTAAGCCCTCCACTCTTCACAATACCTCCTCTGGACTTAAATCCCTGAAAAAATTCAACAGTACCTTAGGGGATAGGGAGTGAATGTGCCTAAGCTGTGGCCACATTTAGCCTAAACTTCTCTCACGGCTTCTGCAGGCTACATCACATTCGGTGCGGATGTGTAGAGGTGTATCGCTGGTAGAGTAGCAAAATCGACAAAGGTCACTCGACCATATCCCTAGCTTGTATAGATGCCCTCTCAGCCTGCAGTGTCCTGTGAGGGTACCTGTTACTATTCTAAGCGGCCCTTTGGAAGGTCAATTAAACTTTTGAATCTCCTTCTGTTGCAACTCATTGCATGACGCATTCCTGACTAACTTTGCCAGTTTAGACCCCTCATAGTGCTCGTCTCTATCCTAAGCTCCCCTTTTAGAGTGTTGGGACCCACTCCTAGGAAGGGCTAAGGCCAACTGGAGTAATGACTGCCGCCTCTCTTTCGAGACAATCAGCCGCCTCGTTACCTCCCCTGTGACCAGGTACCAACGCTAACTTGATGTTATTGTGTCTACCAAGGGAGTTAAGTTTCTCAATGCCCTCTAGGACTAGCGACCATTTGACCTCATAGGATATGAGGGCCCTGAGTGCTGTCTGGCTATCACTTATGATTCTCTCGTTTCTATACCCTCTACCCATGATTGTATCCGCATACAGGTAGATGGCGTAAAACTCGATTGAAAGATGCTTGGATATTTGACCACAGGAACAGAGTGCCGGGCCTGAGTCCGACGATTCCAGCACCTATTCCTTCTGGGGTCTTCGAGCCATCCGTGTTCCGGTGCAGAGTGCAACCCTAAAGCAGTGCCTCGAAAGCGGAGACACTCCAGGTTGCTTTACTGCTAAGCTCTATTTTGAATCTCTTCTCAAAGACTATGGTCTTGCCTGTCATCTCTAGGTAACAGGGCTAGTGGGAGCAAGGACCTTAGCTTCTCCATGATCCAAGAGGAAATGACCTTACCTTTTCCAAATCCCTCGATCGCAATGTTTAGCAGAGTTCTTTTGGCTGCCTGCTCTATGGTTATATGAAGAGGCTCATCGCTCCTGTTATACATACACATGCCAGTCATTGTAGCTTGATGAGCGATTGTCTCACCGTGGCTAGAGTAGTTCTTGAAACCCAAGCTACCGCCCCATAGATAATCATTGGCTGTACTATCATGATGTAAAGCCATCTTAGGATCCTGGGCGTACAACCCCAGAATTTTCTCGAAAGATGCTTACACACCATTAAAGCTTTCGAGGCTTTGATGGTAATACAGCTCACATGTTTCGTGATGTTAAAAGAAAAAATAATAATAATTTACGCCGTCTCCAAATGGCAAATTGTTTTTATGAGTTTTCAAGGCAGAAATAGACTCGGCTTATTGCCTGCAGAGCGGCGACCGCTGTTGGAAAACTTTTTACAGGTCTTACGGAGTGGTAGTACGCACCTCTACCCACAGAAATTACAGAAATTTTTTAAATCAAAAAAATTGCATGGTAAATTTCAGAAATACAAAAACGCGTAATTAAAGTTGCCGAGTATATAAAGTTGGTATCGCCCGACCTTAGCTTTGTTTACCTATTATTTTTGCTATATTTTTAAATAAATATGTATTAAGACTTGGTTTTTACTGAATAAGACAAGCTTTGTATACTATATATAATTACTTTATTACTTTTAACCGGATTGACAGTTCGTGGGCATATTATGTCTTGTGATATTCGAATACTAGAGATAAAAAAATGTCCAAAAAATGCAAAAATTAACCTTGAAATTCTATATAAAGCTCCAAAGTCAGATGAAATGTTGTTAAACGGGTATAATTTTCATGCTGCACATGCGACAAACGGAAACCTAATATAAAAAAAAAAAAACTTTATTGCCAAATTTTACGTAAATGGCAGCCGGTTTGTTAGAAAAATTACGAGTGTCATGCAATACGTAATCATCGTAAGAAAAAACAAACAAATTTTAAAATACTACTAAGAAATTGATGTGGAGTGTAGCTACTCGGTTGTCTTTCAATCACCAATTACCCATTTATTGTTCCAATTCATCGCTTTGAACGTCGATTATAGCGCGCAGTATACCCAATTCAAGTTTTGCAGCCGAACGCGGTCGCAAACGATTCATTACATTGGCAACATAAAGGCCCAACGCTTCATGACGTGATGAGTTGCAAAGATTCTTGAAGAATGTTGGTGGCAATGAATTGTCGAAATTTCCTAAATTAATAATGCCACCTGGTGCATTTGTCTGATTTGGATGGTTAGCGGCACCTGTAACGGGGCCATTAATGGGACCATTTCCAGCATCAAATATAATATCATTACGAAAGTCGATCTCTTCAAGTCGTGGCGAAAACCCATTCGTGGATGTAGATGCTACAGTAGCAGCGGTTGAAGAAGATGGGCCACCGCCAACACCACCATTGGTCAACTCAACACGCGGATTTCCTGTTATTGTAATTAAATTTATTCCAGCTGGCGGACTATTTTGATCGATCGGCTCCTGTTTAATATTAAGCGATTGTGCATGACTTATGGTAAGAGTGTTCTCCTGTAATGCACCACTAGAACTTGCGTTAATAGCGGCTGCAGTACGCACAGTAGGTGTTGGTGCAGTTGTGGTGGCCGTTGATTTTGCAGGCGACACCTCTCTAGGTGACTGTACATTGTTTGGTTTTTTAGCAGGGGGTGTACCTCGCTGTGATTCGGCCAATTTACGTTTAATGGATTCAGGCAATGGTATAGTTTCGCCCACTCCTAATACCTGCCCACCTACTCGAATAGTGTTTTTCTGTTCTGGGTTGTTGCTTGAGGATTGAGTCGATCGCGGTGTGTTACTACCTGTAGGTGCTGTTGCAGTATTTAATGATGTTTTCTTCATTGTGATTCCTTTCTTGTGCAAAGCGGCTGCAGTTGCAGCGGTAGATGTGTTCAATGCAGGCGAAGAGTTTCCTCCAGTGTTCAATGCTGTACGCGTTGAAGGAGCTAAAGTATTCAAGACTTTCTTTTCTTCAGAAGCTGGAGATGAAGCTTTTTTCGGCGCTGGAGTAGCAGAAGCCACAGTAGCTTTGGTGGATTTAGCCGGGACTTTCGCCAATGGCTTTTCATCTTTTTCTGGTGTTGTTTCAGGAGAGCCTCCAGATTTCATTGATTTTGATGGACTTTCACCATCTGAAGTAGCTGGAGGAATTTTTCCTTGTGGTGCTACTGGTTCTTCTTCTTCTTGTACTTCAAGCATTTCATATTCTTCATCTTCTTCCATAGACATCATACCATCCCTAAATCAAGTAAATAGGGGAGTTCAGGAGAGTTAAAATTAAATTCTATTGGCCTTATTCATAAAAAATAAAGTAACTTTATAAAAGGTTTATAAATTGGAAAATGTATGAAAACGTCAATTTATAAAGCTCTTTAAACCTACTTTATTTTTTATGAATAAGGCCATATGGCTACAACTTACTCGTCTGCCTTAGGTTCTTCCTCTTTCACAGGTTGATGTATTTGCTCCATTAAATCGAAAAGTTTCCATGATGGTGTACGCTTGGTCTTCTCCTGTTCATATTTCTTTTGGAGTACTTTGAATATCGACCGAGCTTCGTGTACTAAAATTGCAAATGTAATCAAGAAACCCGTAATAACAAATCAAATTTTACTTACCCGACAATTTATTATTTTTTCCGACGCGCGACCAGGCATCATCTACTTCTTTCTTGCCTGCTTCCGGATAATTTGGACGCAATACTTTTTCTTTAGCAATGTCCGCCAAAATTTTATCCAACTGTATAGGCATCTTGTACAAATCTATCGGCGTGTGGAAGCCGCAACTTTGGTTATAAGAACTATTTTAATGTTCGAACAAATGTAATTCACAAAAAATTTATATACGCTTGATACTTTTTCATCTGCTTTCTACACTTTTCGATGTTTTTTGTGTGCAGCTCCTTGAGCGAAGCAACGCGTTCTTGCAAAAACAAAGCGGTAGCGAATGAGAAGTGAAACGGCGCGCAAAAAGCACTATATAGCTATTTTGTTTTAACTTATACTCTTTGATAGGCAGGGCAACTTATAACAACGACTGCTGTTTCGCATGCACGGCCGATACATTAGGAAACGTTTGGAAAGGTTGCAATTCATAGAGTTGCATTAGTACCTAAATTGTTTATTTTTTAAATTAACAAAATGCCTATACTATAAACGTACAAAAGTGAATTTGCATTATTTCTGAATGTTTACAAGTTGTCACGCTGGGTTGTTGTTGTTGTAACATCAAACAAATGTTAATGGGAAAGTGGAGAGGGAAATTTTTGTTTCCTTATATACGTGACTTATATTTTAAATAAGTATATATATTACGCAAATACCTCGCAAATTTGCTAATTTAAGTTGGTTTTTGTATCCAAATCCCGTTAAACTAGTCACATGTTTCTTTCCAGCTACCAACAAGGTAGCTTTTGTCGCTCCCTTACAAAAAAATGCACTTAGAGTTGTTCTCTGTTGTAGGCAAAAGCGGCAGTGCGGTGAAGATGGCGGGGTAAAATCAAAACTGAGTTGTCAAACTACGAAATGACAACTGATGTTAAGGAATTCGGCAAGACAGATATGGTTTAACAGTAGAAATTTGCAGTCTCTACCTGAAATTTCTGTCTTAACAAAGTTTTTTTAACATAATCCATTCAAGGACTTGAAATTAATTCAAAGCTCATTCTCTTTTGTGTTTTCTATTTGCTTTTACACGTTTCAATTCTGTTGAATTCAAGTTTTTGGCTCTTTAAATGGGAAGCAACGAAAATACCAAAGCAAAGCAAGAAAATTGAAAAGACTTGACGGTACAGACGCATGTGTGTTCGTCCCTTTTCTTCTCATCCCCTCTGCAACATGCGCACAGAATTGAATTCACTACTTGAACTGTGTAAAAGCAGTCTAACCGATTGTGAGAGTTTCGGCGCCAGTGTACTACCATTAGTTTTCAAAGTCACTGTAGTGATAAGGCCCAAGCCGAAAAAATAAAACTGAAAATTGGGATTCCCAGCATGCAGCCTGCGGGGTTTTCATTCGTACTTTGCATTTTTGGTAGCATTCTTCCATTTAAGATTTCCAGGACAGAAAACCATGTACACAAAACTCAAGGCAATAGATCGTTACCACTAGTTATCAATACCTGGGCATTTACCGAGGCAAATACAGCTGCTTGGCGAGTACTTAATCACCAGCCAGGCGGAAATGCATTGGACGCCCTTGTCGAAGGCTGTAGCACTTGCGAACGTTTGCAGTGTGATGGCACCGTTGGTTGGCTCGCCGGACGAGAATGGGGAAACCACACTCGATGCTATGATTATGGATGGCAGTAATATGAATATTGGAGCGGTTGCAGGTCTGCGACAAATAAAAAATGCCATCCATGTAGCACGGTACGTATTGGAACATACAAAACACACACTACTAGTAGGCGATGCTGCAAGCAATTTTGCGGAAAAGATGGGTTTTCACCGCGAAAGTCTTGCCACTAACAAATCGAAAGGAATTTGGAAAGAGTGGCACGATCAGTCTTGTCAACCAAATTTTTGGCTTAATGTTTATCCGGATCCAAGAAGAAGTTGTGGTCCGTACAAGCCCGTCTCGGTAGAATTTAACAAACAAACAAGTAGCACACGCTACGAATACCAGATTGGACGGGGGAACCATGATACCATAGGCATGATCGTCATTGATGGAAATGGTGAAATCTATGCGGGTACATCTACTAATGGCGCCACACATAAAATACCAGGGCGTGTGGGCGACTCGCCGATACCCGGTGCTGGAGCTTATGCTGATAATGAAATCGGGGCAGCTGTGGCAACTGGCGATGGTGATGTGATGATGCGTTTCCTTCCTGCACTACTTGCGGTGGAGGCATTGCGTGCGGGTCGCGCGCCCACATTAGCTGCAGAAATGACAATGCAACGTATAGTGCGCTATTACCCAGATTTCAGTGGGGGTTTAGTCGTTGTCAATCATCTCGGCCATTATGGTGCTGCTTGTGCGGGAATGACAAAATTTCCATTCTCAATCGTAAATGGCGATTCGATACAAACGACAAGGGTAGAATACAAGTATTGCAAAGAACCAACAACATTTTGGTAACTTTACTGCTATATCTTTAGAGTAATTAATAACTTGTGATATATTTGAATTAATAAAATAATCTTAAATTTTTAATTTGTTTTATTTCTAACGATTAGACGATATTAACAATAGAGTTTGTTGAAGGTTAGAAAACCAATTATTGTACGATCCCACATCTAGCAAGACTCCTTTACGACCCATCAATAATTATATGCATTCTTAATTTCAGAATATACATGGCTTCCAAAAGAAGGGGATTTTCTAGAATTTTTAGAATTTTTCTCTAGCGATGTCGATGGGATAGCGGTATTGAATAAAACAACTACAGCTCAACTGATATCAAGTCTTAGATCGTTTTTCGAAAATTTGCGAGGTGAGAAAAATATTACAATCATTACTTTCTTCGCAATAGCTGGAGAACATTGTTTTGCAACAAATATGGGGCCAAAAACCGATTCAATTGGAATTTTTTGCGTTAAAAAGGAATTTGAGTCAGCCATCACAATATACGAAAAGTTCACTTTACCCAGGAATGATATTAGACAGGTAACTTCTAAAAAAAAAAAATTCAGAGCAGAATATCTATTTAACAGTTATTTAAAATGCTTAGGTGCTTCGGTTGGACGGGGATAAAATAGCACTGTTGCTAGCCGAAGGCATTGAGATATGGCGATCGCACCCGCATTTCGAATTTATGCACCTTTTACCACTTTCGAAGGCAACTAAAGGTGTAAGCGCCAAATTCAACAATGTCACCTTCTTAGCAATTCAATTAAGAAAAGAATCTAATAGCCTAAGCAATGGAGCTATAGAGATTTATCGGTACGTATACAGAAATACTTCGACGGACAAACAGTGACAACTCGTTAACTCAATTTCGGAAAAAATTGCCAGTTATGAGTTTTCCTATGTTGTACCACAATGTCAGATAGGAGTTGTCAATGTTTCATCATCGACTTATTTTAGCTGCCTAGTAATAAACAAACTTTATTCATTAGCTCCATAAACTCGACTCACTTCGATCATATGCAAAGTTTGGACTGTGTGGATCCAATACAATTTTCATTCAGCAAAATCGCACTAACAGACGACTTACTGCTGTACGTCTTGGGGCAATCTATTGTTGCGCCATTGACAATTTATCAATATAAAGGTGTTTTGGGCTTTAAACGAATCGTAGGAGCAAGCACACTCGCCGTTGGGCAGGCTTACAAAATTTTAGACTTGGAGAATGCAACTAAGCCAATGGTCATGCTAATGAACGATGGAGACTTAACATTTGTGGAAATAGCGCTGAGGAAATATTGAACAGTACGGCACAAACTTTATCGAAAAATTAAATCTAAAATTCTTCAATTAAGAACATTTTGTAAATAAAACATAATGCAAAGAAAATATAAAACTTTTATAAATTTTGAATTAGCGTACCTCTAAAAGGACGGACGATAAAAAGCTATTTCTGGATAGTGCTGCATCGAATCTTCTAAACAAATTTCAAACATATTCACCTTGCATGGTCCCAATATTCAATGATTTGCTCACCACTTTTTATCAGAGAACTTTAATGCTTCCTTTACTTGTGTTTCACGTTGTTTTTGCAAATAAAAAATGAATTTATTATCGTTAATCTGTACTTTAATAAACTCCTAAACCCGGACGATGTTATCATTTAATTGCTTCATACATGCAATATTTTAAAGTTGTGTTTAGTCATCGCTGGATTCAACATTTTCTGTTTGCAGGTTCTTAAAAGTGGAAACAGGCACATATGTCACCAGTGTGTACAGTTTGTTGGGTGAATCCTCGTCATCGTTTCTCCTGCGAGCAAGACGTACACGCACGCGCACTGGAGTTGAACTGGGGAAAAGAATATTGCAAATTAGTAAAAAACAAAAGTTGCTTTATATTTATGTACATATGTACAAAACTTACCGGATACCCTTGGACCAGATGTGCTTATTCAGGCGAGTGTCGATCCTCACATCGTTGGTGCCCATTTCCTTCTCTGCGAACTTGCGGATTTCCTTAATGGCCCGAGGCGCACGTTTTTTGAAGCCAATATTGTGTACACGCTTCGACAAGTGAATCGTGCACTCGCGAGTAACAACCTCATTGATGGCAGATTTGTTACGTTTCTCAACCTTTTTTGTTTTCGCCATTTTTGAACTGGAATTTCTTGCCTGCTAACAAACTCCTGAAAAACCAAATAAAGACCTTTTGTGAGCATTTATTTGGAGTTCAATGTGGGTAAAAAAATAAATTGAACGCCAATAATGTTTTGGAAAATCATCACCGATCATTCTGCACTTTTCTAAATTTTTATTTCTCGTCCATTCGACACACTTGATGGAAAAAATTATGAGATTTTCCAACTAATAGGAAATCTTCGTGCACAATTTTACACATTTTATCAATTAGAATTTGCAGAATTTCACGATGTTTTACGATATTTATTAAGAAATTTTCAACAGCCAACCTATCGGAAATGAAAGCCTGACGTAAAAGAGTCTGACAGCCGTCAAATGGAAACGTCAACGCCATTTTGCTCTAATTTGACATTTAATAGATGGGTTATAATGATCATGGCGACATCAAGTAGTGATGTTTGCATGATTTAAAGTGAAAGTAAAAACTAGTACATTGCGACAACGTCACCGTCACCGTCAACATCAATAGCTTATGCGTCAAGCTATCCGTTTGCCGTAGCGGCCGAAAAATCATAAAATCGCTGCTAATCTGCAAAATTTGCGTTTTACTTTTGCATATTTTTATTAGGTTTTGCTCCATTTTTTTTTTTAATTTCAATTTTCCATAAATCAAAATTTTCACAAACTGAAAAAATATACGTTCAAACATGTAAACAAAACACTGAATAGTTGTCAATTGACGCAATCGCATAAGCAAAATTGAGTTGAGCTAATTTGTGCGGCACCGTCACCGTCAGCTTGTTCATGTAACTTACTTCATACAAATTCACCGAATCAGCATTTTTGACAACTGCCGGTGAAGCAATGGACGTTATGCACTTTCACTTTTAGCAAGAACGATAGAATACAAGATTGCGCATTCCCGCAGAATGACGTTTGTGGCAACGGGTAAACAAAGAATATGGCGAAGAACAATGAGTTGACAGTTGTGAATTTGCAATTACACCATGCACTTTTAGTAATGGAATCACATACACATAGTCGATATATAATGGCTGCGTTTCTTTATACATTCCGGATAATCGCATTTCACAGCCGGAATAAACAGAATGCGTTTGAAATATAAGTCAACATATCACCAGGAACGTTCTAAAGAATAAGTAAACAAACAAGTTTATTCCAAACGTTCAGAAAGAATGAGGAAACGCAGCCATCATGAGGAACGTTCTAAAGAATAAGTAGACAAAAAGGTTTATTCCAACAGTTCAGAATGAATAAAGGAATGCAGCCAATACGTTTTATCAGAGAATATTAATAGAAGAAAACGGCTATAAGTTAAAAATAAACAATAAAAGGTATTTTTTCATTTAAATGTTTTTTCTACAATTTTTATATACGAAGTATACAAATATGCATATCAGAAGAAGGTTTAATCACCTTTACAACGATATAAATTTTTTTTAAATCAGTTTAAAATTGTTTGCACTGTAAGGAATTAAATTTTTCGAAGACCTGAACTTTGACCCCTTATAGCACCTGTAATATAGGTTTGCACAAAAAAAGTTATATACCATTTAAATTAGAGCAAAAGGGTTTCAGCTATTTACATGCAATAATAGAATATAATTTTTTACCAAAGGTCCTATTTAGAACTTCGAGGGCCCATATTTCAATTTCGGAGGCCAACTTCGAAAAACGGAGAAATCACTGTTTTACGTATGACTCAATCTCTTAAAAACAATTGGTTTGGTTTAATACCCAGAAAAAACGTTGATTTTGCCGTACAGTGTTATTATCTATTTATTTAGAACGATGTAAAATGAAAACCTTCAATTGAAGTGACAGCGGCTGCATACTAAGCAACGCGCCATCTATATTTCAAGTTTTAGTATCCTCTCAAATCAGCTGATCTTAAAATGTAAATAAACAAACCCCCAAATATGCTTAACACGGTTTGTAAGTGAATATTTCACTAAAAAGCTATAAATTTACAAACTTTTTTCAACAGTAGGGCTTGTAGTTGTTGGCTTGCTGTGGGGGGCCACAAATCCCTTCATACGTCTTGGCAGCGAAGGCATTGACAATGTGGATACTGGTTCACGGTGGCGTAATCTGTGGCTGGAGGTCCGCATGATAAGCACACGCTTTCATTATTGGATACCATTCCTCTTAAACCAGTTGGGAAGCGTTTTGTACGTGTGGACCCTACAACATATAAATATAATCGTAGCTGTACCTGTTGCAAATTCGCTGAGCTTTGTATTCACTGCTATAACAGGGTACTGCTTGGGAGAAAAGTTGCCCGGAAAGTGTAAAGATGAGCAATCTATTGTACGTATGTATATACTAATATACCTAAACAATCTTCTAATTGCAGCTGTCACAATCGGCACGCTATTAGTCTGCTTGGGCAGCTCGCTAATGTTATATGACAAAATGAGTCCCGACCAAGATGTGTAATTCCTATATGTATTGAATAAAACGATTTCTTTGTAATGTTTAACAACCTAACAACCAAAACTTTTATTTACTGCAACACAATAAGCCACTATAGATTAAATAAACAGTGCTATACCATTGATTGTTGGCACCCATTTTCAAATAGCTTTATGTACAGCGTCCACTAGGGTTTCCATACTTATTATAGGCGTTTGGGGAGTAATACCATGCCCAAGATTAGCTATATAGCGATCTTTTCCAAATTTTCGTACCATCTCGGTAGTCAGCGCACGTATTTCTACTGGCGTCTTGTACATATCCTGTGGATCCAAGTTCCCTTGTAAGGTTATGTTAGGTCCCACTTCTTTCCGTGCCTCAACAGGATCAACTGTCCAGTCCAAGCCTATAACATCATATCCTAAAGTCGCTTGTTCCTTTAGTGAATGCCCCGCGCCTTTAGCGAAAATAGTCTTCAAATAAAACAAAGTTATAAAGTTATACAGCAGTTGCAGTGAATACTCATTACTCACCATAGGTACTACTGGTATTGACTGCTGCTTCAAGCGTTCGTCTAACTTATCGCGAATATCTTTTAAGTAAGGCACAGCCCACTTTAGAAAATCTTCCTTGCTTAAATGTTCCGCTGACGATTCGAAAATTTGCAGTAGTTGCGCACCGGCTTTCACCTGCATTTCTAAGTAATCAACAATGGCATTCGTTAACATGCTTAGTAGCATTTTCGAGTCCTCGGGGTAATCCGTAAGCCAAGCTTTTGATTTTGCCATGGTTTTGCTGCCGCCTCCTTCAATCATGTATCCCATCAAAGTCCACTGCAGTCGAAAATTCAAGCATTGCAGTATAAGTATTACCGTTCTTTAATCGTAATTATAGTATCAAACACTTACCGGTGCTCCAGTGAAACCAATAAGTGGCACACGCCCTTCCAACATATGACGCATCATAGTAATAGCATCGCCTACATATGTCAACCGTCCTACGGCGCCCTCCGGTGTGAGCTTAGCTAAGTCTGCAGGCGTTTGTAATGGCTCAGGAAACACTGGTCCCTATAATTAAAGCTTTCAGTTATGAACAAATGAAGAGGCTTTTTCTTGTCACTCACCACACCCGCATGCATTTCCACTATCATGCCTAGAGCTTGAGGTATAACCAAAATATCGCAAAATATGATAGACGCATCCAAATCGAAGCGCCGCAGTGGCTGCATTGTTACCTCACAGGCCAATTCGGGGGTACGGCAAACGGTAAAGAAATCATGATGCTTGCGCACCTCTTGGAACTCAGGTAGATAACGCCCTGCTTGACGCATCACCCAGACGGGCACACGATCAACGGGTTCACCCCTCGCCGCGCGGAGGAGATTATCATTTTTTAGTGGGGGGAAATTCTAAATGGATAACAATAAATATATCTTATATATATTTTCTAAGTAATTTGCAGTGTCATGGCTGTTCACTTTTATGCGTATATGGTAATTTTTAACAAAACATATGTATGTGCATACATACATGTTGTTTTATCGCGCACGTGCCGGCAACAGATATTAAAGCGTATAGTATATATATTAGCGCACAATACATTGCTTTTTCTCTTAAAAGTTTAAAGGAATTATTGAACTTAAGTATCATTCAATGATGTAATTTATTCAACTCATTTAAAATTGTCTTCTTTTCATTGTCCCACTTCACTTTTACTTACCTTTGTGTCTTTCATTTTCTTCCGTGTTAAACAGTTGTTCAGTATATTTTATGCTTTCTATTGCGTGCTGCGGCCCAAACTGTAAGCTTTTAATCAGGTTTGCTTTAATTTATATTTATTAAAAGTTAAATTCCTCTATATATTGGCCGGCAAATAGACAACATAAATAGTTCCCCTTCTCTTATCAACTTTTTTATTTTCTTTTTGGAAAACCTCAGGGTTGTATCGTGCTCAAGGCATATTCAGCGTTGCCGCGAGCTTGAGAAAAAAGTAGAGCTGCCAAGCCGAAAAAGCATCAAAAATAAACACTACTGTAATTTAGTAAACTTTTATTTGAAAAACAAATACTAAATAAAGTTTTATAATTAAATCTATAGTTATAAAAAATTGTATATTACTTGCTTTAAGAAAAACAGAGAATCCATATGCTTATTTGCATAACGATAGACAAACTATAGGGCTCCTAAAGGCCGATCCACATCGAACTTTGGCGTTGGCGTTGATTAACAGCTGACTATGAATACACACAATTATATGGACATGTCCACATATCAACGGCAACGCCAACGCCAAAGTTAACGCACACAAAAAGATGGGCATCTCTCATCTTTTTGCGGGCGTTGTTAATCAGCTGTTGCAAATAAATAAACTTATGTGAATTATTTTTAATTTTTAATCAAATGTAGGCAAGAAATATAACTTTTCATGCAATTATTGATATGAAGTATTAATTTATCTGTCGTTAGTACGTTAATTTAGTGGTCAAAGCATTCGCTACCAAGCGTTCATGTAGTAAGCATACTTTTAACGTGCGCTCTGTCAAACCAACGCCAACGCCAACGCCAAAACCAACGTGAACGGCAACGCTGGGCATATTACCCATGAACCAAAAATATGTCTTTCGTTCATGCATATTACCTGAATCGTGGTCAGGGCTGCCAACTATACTAAAGGGACACTCTTACAGACGCGGTATTGGAAGTGCGGTACAAGGCGGTACATAATACCATGTTCTGACCGACATCAAAAACATGTTTTCGTCGCTAAAACTGGTTTTCGACCTAAAACTTGTGTTTTCATCCATGTAAAATCTGTCAAACGAAAACCAGTTTTCGCCGAAAACTCACGTTCCACTTATTCCAATCGGAGTCTTCACTATTTTTTTTTTCGATTTACGCCATTTCGGATTTATTATTAATTGGCTGGCCAAAGTAAAATAAGAATGAAAGTAAGAGGTTGCTAATGAAAGGAAAATGAGGGAAAAGCATTTTGGTCTTGTTTTTGTGTAGCAAAACTGTAATCAGAGGATGTAAAAAATGTCAACGAAAACACTAACCGCCGGTGTGAACAGCCTTCATCCCACAATCCCAAAACTTGTTTTTAAAGGGGTTTCCTTGTCGGTCAGAACATGGTATAACTATACTATGTACCGCCTTGTACCGCACTTCCAATACCGCGTCTGTTTGATTGTCCCTTTAGCTATGAAGTGCCATATTGAGGACAAAAAAGTCCCAAAATGTGCCAAATAGAAAAATAAAAGCGCCAAAAAAGTTCCATTCTTTTTATTTCCTCCCATTTAGCTTTAAAATTATAAACACATTCCTAAATCATAAGTAAGATAAACCAGTTGTATACACTATTAAAATGAAAAAATTTTAGTTGAGAAAAAGAATACACGCTAAGGATGTCACAAAAATCTATACAAATATCATTACATATTTTTCCAAATTGTCATTTGGCACTTTGTGCCAAATTGAAAAGTTGTGCCATTTGAAGGAAAATAGGGCCAAAAATGACACGGTTTAAGCGAAGTTGGCAGCCTTGATCGTGGTGTATTTTCTTAATCATTCCAGGGGCTTGATGACATTGGAAAGAGTCTGGAATACTGGCTTTGTTTCTTTTCTTTTCTAGGATCGGCAGGGTTAGAATGTAGGCAAGTCCCATTCGGACTAAATGAAGTAAAAAAGCGGAGCAGAAAATCCAATTCCGTATTAGATTTTTTTTAAGTATATCGACACGTCAAAACTTGCCTTTTTAGTTAAAAAAAAAAAAAATAATGCATAACAATAGCCTTTAATCGTGTCCTTCAACTATATTATTTAGTAACGTAAAAATTTTCCATATTATATAACATTCTAAGCCCTTGTTTTTATTGGTGAACGTTAGTTCAATTTTTTAGTTTGAAAATAGAACTCCTGAAGGGGTTTAAACAAATTATCCATCGGGTAATTTCAGGAAGTTCCTGAACAAATGAAGAAAAAAATTAAAAATAAGATGTGATTGATGACAGAGATATACATACCTTCTAAGTCAATAAAAATCAGAAACTTACTAGGCCAATATCTAAAAAAAAACCGTGATATAACAAAAGTGAAAGTGCATTCAATCCTCATTTGAATACTATTTCTTGGCCGTATAGATAAAAATTAGAAATTTCAAAAGTTAAAAAATTACATACATGCATTAAAAACTGATTTTTCAATCAATGTTACAAAATCTTCATTTGTGAAGGCCAGTATGCAGCTCTCAAGAAAAGGGTCAAGAAAAAAATTTCCATTATTTCTTGTGTATGTGTCCAAGAAATTTTGACATCTGATACTTCATCAGCCTATTGCCACACATTTTCCTCAAGGAATAATGGGAGGGGCATATATATCTGTTGCAAGCACGGGTTGCCTTGTGCTCTGTTTTCACTGAAAAAAAATTAGAAAACCGTAGTAGACAGCGTAGCAAAATTCTTAAGAACTGCGTCTGCCTCAAGAAAATTTTACACAAGAAACTTTCTCCTCAGTGCAGCTTTGAAAAAAATCCTTCTCAGAGTCAGTTAATGATTCATTAACGGCATTTAATGAACATTAAAGTTAAGTAAAGAAAAGCCTTTACTTAACATTTTAACGATTGAATTTGACAATTTTTTATTCAAATAAGATGCCATTATGCAAAACAAGAGCATTTATTTTCTCACATTTGGGGCGTGTGTGAATCGGTAACAAAGTTCTATGGGGAAAGCTGGTGAATAATTCTTTTACTATGTAAAATGTTTTGGAACAGTAAATGTTTGATAACCGCAGATTTATGCAGAATATAGTATTGCAAATCGAAGTGAAATTAATATTATAAGAAAACATCTACCATCATCGATTGCAACCCATCAGTTTAGGCTTTTATTTAACGAAAAATGACACACATCAACCACCTTTGCGATTGGTAAAATTTTCTGTGCATTTGTCAAAAACTTCACTAGCTTCATGATCTACAGAAATATTATTCACCTCATACTTGTCCAAAATTTACACGCCGCGAACTTTGTTACCGATTCACACACGCTCTTAGCAATAAAATAAAAACCACATTTTTAAAGCAAAAGTGCAATACCTAAACATTATAAACCTGTGGTTTATACTTTATAAACTAGAAAATTTCAGTTTGCGAAAAAGTGGCTCCCCAAACCCCCCCTAAACGAAGGAGGATGAACGTCGCTTTATGAAAAGTCACCCCTCACCCCCCTGGCCACCCCTAAAGACCTCTTGGGAGCTGTTTGAAAATAGGGGAATTTTAGATTTTTTGCAAGGAAAAAACAAGGTTAAACTTGCGTCCGAAGAAGGGGGGCTGAACAGCTTTTGCAGAGAACACCATTCTGCGTAGGCGGCCTTCGGCCGCGCTTAGGGATTATAACCCTTACTACGTAGAATTCTCCTTTCTGTTTGACATAACTGGCGCTAGCGCCCCAGTGATGTAACCTTGGGAAAGGATGATGTAACTAGAATTCCCTTTCTGTGTGGTAAACCTGGGGCTGCCGCCCCAGTGATGTCTATTTTGGTTACTGGGTGTTTTTTAAAAATATCTTGTATATAAAAATGTATATACAAATTTATAACAAAAATTTGCAACAAATACCATATTTCCAACCAACATTATTGTTAAATTAGTGCACAGATTTAGTAAATTAAATTTTTGTAATAAAGCGTGAACTGTTGTCTACAAGTGTGTGTAAAAGGTTTTTGATTCGATTCACGCGTTTGGGCACAGCAACCCAAAATCGTTGTACAAATTCATAAAGAGTACCCTAGGAATGTATTTCTAATTTTAATTCTAAATGGAAAGAATTACACATTTTTTTGCACTTTTATTTTTCTATTTGGCACATTTTGGTACTTTTTTATCCTCAATATGGCACTTTATAACTAAGGAAAGCTGGCAGCCCTGAAGACACGTATGAAAAGAAAAACAAAAAGCCTACAATCAAAATATCAGACCAAAAAGTGCTTTCGTGTCACAGAAAGAACAATACAGTTGACGCAACAACAAATTTCCACACACCAAACAACTCCAAAAGAAAATCCAATCAGATTGGTCAGAAGCAAAACCGATAAAGCAAGAACAAAGTGGAGAAGTTGTTGCAATCTTGAAAAGTTCTAAAAATATCTACATTTGCACATATATTAATTGGCCAGCAGTGAAGAAAGCAGAAAACACAGGTGCGTAATTTACAAAAGCCAAAAAATATATAATTCTTTGTTATTCCCAAAAGTGCTAATCATTACTTTTTTCATAATATTACGTGAATGTGGGAACAATAAACAAACAGTAAGAGAACTCGCAAGTAGTTTGAAAGTAAAATATGGCAGACGAGCAACCTAATCTTGTAGCTGGACACCCACCAGCAGGTATGTGGATTTCATGAAGCTTGAAATTATTTATACATTTATACATATATATGCAACCTGCCAATTTGTTAAGATATCCATTTTTAAGCTATTTGCAAATAAGGGTGTTGTAAAAATTGCGCAGTAGGCAGGCCTGTTTAAAGTAAAAACGGGCAAATAAAATGTCATTGAATTATATTTAGTCTGCCACAGTACTCCAGGATTTAGACAGATACTGTCAGACTTAGTCCTGGAGATAGTTAGATCTGTTCAATGAGTGCACTAAAAGTGTAGTACAGTGCGGTGCAAAACAATATGTGACATTTAGCGAAAGCAATCACATGCGTTTAGTGCAGGAAAACCCCTCATCGAACGCATTTTCTCGCAGTGGAGTACTCTATTCTGTTCATTCTGGAGTACTGGGGGGGCTACTCTGTAATGCGATGCGAAAGAGAAATGCGATGCGATAGGCTACAGCATATAACATACGACGTATTAGCCTTTCGCATCGCATTGCTCTTTCGCATCGCATTACAGAATAGCCCCTGGAACATACGTAATTATTAGCGAAATCCGGGAGCCGCTGGGTGCAGCAGCAACTTACTCGATGCTTAAACTCATATGTGCACACAGAATGGTGGTGATAAGAACGTTCTAGCATTAAATCAATTTATTTACTCTTCTTATTCGGCGTGGTAACCGTATAAGCGATTTTGGCCGACTTCAACCAAGTACGCCAGTCGTTTCTCTTCTGTGTCAACTGACGCTAATTGGAAATACCAAGTGAAGCCAATACCTTCTCCACTTGATCTTTTCATCGCAGTGGGGGTCTCCCTCTTCCACTGCTAGCACCAGCGGGTTTCGAGTTGAATGCGTTCAGATCTGGACCGTCGGTGCCCATTCGAACGACGTGGTAAAGCAATATGTCCATGTCGTTGTAAACCTCATACAGCTCAGCGATCCGTCGTCTGCGGTACTCGCCGTGGCCAACTTCAAAGGCCCGTAAATCTCCCGCAAAATCTTTCTCTCTGATACCCCAGAGCCGCCCAATCGGATGTTGTTATTGTCCATGCTTCTGCGCCCTATACATATTTATTTATTGGAATGTTGAAATTGGTGGCTTATAAAAGTAAGAAAATGTACTCATGACTAATGCTCTTCTTCGTTTTCTTAACAGTTAGGGCAGGTGGTATGCGCATTGTGCAACACAAGGCGCCTACAGCAGAGCGCCCAGCAAAGGATGCCGAGGATTGTACAGGATTGACGGTAAAGACTTTGAATACATATTGTCTATATACACGCATAGCTATGCTACTTACATACATAATGTATATTTTAGCAACCAGTTGCTGTCAATAGCACGTCTGTGAGCGGTGCTCCCGTTAAGGGCAATATTGATTATACACCACAGGCCGCACAAGTGGCCCATTCACCTAAACCACCGGGGTTTGTTGCACATAAGCCCCAAATACATATTCAACAGCCTCGTAAATGAGAGTATGTGACACGCTCCTGTCGTTCAAAGCCTCAAATTATGCAACGTCAACAAATGCAACAACAACAGCCACAACAGGAACAGCCAAAACATTCCAATTCAAAGGAACAAAAACGGGAAAAGATTCATTCTCAGCGTAGGCAACAGAAGCGAGATGCGTAAAATATAAGCAAAGAAATTTATATGAAAAAAACATTAAAAAATAATAATTTTATAAAGCAGGGGGAACTAAACAAAATAAGTTGCAACATTTAAACATTTATTAACTAATGCTCTTGCACTTATTTTAAACTTAACACAAGTTTTGAATTATAGTTCCAAAGAATAATAGAAATTTGTAGTCGTAAGACAACTAAAATTATTTTCGCTAGCATTTGCACCAATTAAATGTAGCACCGATAGTACATACTATAGTGCCGAATTCAACAGAGCAAAAATTCAATATTCCTGAAGATAATACTATATAGTAATTTAACGTCAAAATGTAACCGCAGTTATTTTCATTAATTTCATTCCAGTCGCAATTAACTTTTTGAGGTACCCAGTTTTGTAGAAAGTATACCTATACATACATATATACAAATAAAAGGTGATTTTTTTAAACTATTATCACGAAAAACACATATTATTATTTGGTACTATCGATTAGGACGAAATCGAAAATGTGTACTGTACATACTGATGCACATACGTAAAAAAAACATAATTTACACTTTGTCCGAAAACGCAACGAGGCAACGTGGCTAGTGTTTTTTTCAGGCTTATAGCAGATTTCGTTCAGAACACTAATGTTGAAGTAATTACTTCCGTATAAACCGTAAGTAAATGCTTCAAATATGTATGATTTCTATAAATTAAAGAAGCAACTTTAAGAGAACTCCAAACGGCCTTCTGAAGCAGGCCCTTCTGCAAGGCCTTCCATGGGTAGCGAAAAAAGAAGCCTTTCAATTTGTGCCACTCTATACAAAAAAGAAAGGAAAAAGGAATAATGTAGAGTGGAAGGCCTCTTGACTCTCAGGAAGGCCTTTCGGAAAGGCTTTTAACTCCTGAATTTATCTACAAGGAAGTTAGTAAGTCTAGACCTCCTAGTTTCGGAGAAACAAAAATTTAAATCTCACCATTGTCGGTGATTTCGGAACCTTTTTCTTTGAAATAGAAGGCGTAGAGAAATTATATTGACTCAAACAGAATCAGCATAATAAAATCTCTCTAAGTACGACTTTTATTTTTATCTTATCTCAGAAACCAAGGGGCCTAAAAACATTTTATTTGCGGACTCAGAATTAGCGTAAGAAAACCTACGTGGGCGTGTTTTTGTTGTATTTTTTTCTGTCATCTGTATGGTCGATTTTCCTCAGTGAAATGCTGGCTCTGTTATGTCCCAATAAGCTATAAGTACTAAGTATGTACATATGTATGTATGTACATATGTATGCACAGATATTACTAAATACGAACGTACAAGCATTTATGAGTAATTCCAAGTGCGGTCCAATCTATAGAACTATGTTATCAACGTGGGATGCACACTAACACGCAATTTCTATTGCAATTAAACTATTAAACATGCACTTATCTTATTAACCTACATTTTACATTGCAGTGTGTTAATAATTTTCATTCACAATTGTAAAATCTATAATTCGCATATGCTTTTTCATGTTAAGATCCACTTAAATTAACAAGACAAACCTTTGGTAGTTGCCTCTCTGAGCTTCGGTGGTCCGGGGTGCAGACTTCAAATCTGTAGTCGATTAGCGTCGAAGTGGTTCGATTCCACCTGAGGGGCGTACACATTTCATTTTAGTTTGATTGTGTTTTCAACGTCTTATGAATTAATTAGAATTACCTATTTTTTGGCATTAATTATCTCACTATCAACCACTCTGTAGCTAAGTTGTAGAGTTTGAAATTCTTACACAAATATTTTTGCGGGAAAACAAAAAACTTGCAGCATCGCAATGCATCCATTTGTGCGTTGGAATTTCATGTACATTTTGTCGTTTTCCGTTTTTAGCGGAAAACCACAGACAGTTTAGGTGCCAGTGTACTATCGAACGTCATTTAATATCCAAGATAGCAATGGAATCGATCAAACAATCGCAGGAAATTGCGTGAAAGTTTAAATATTTTTCATTTGTTTTCTTGTGTTTTCTTGCTTAAAAACTTTTATCACATATAAAAAGGCTAGTAATGCCGCAAGCAGTTAAAATTACGCCGGAAGAACTGTTGAAACTTCGCGATGATTGTATGGAACGACTACGCGAAGCAAAAATCTATGAGTTGCGTAATGATGCTAAGTTGCGAGCGGTAAATACAACTGAAACTTACGACGAGTTCAAGTAAGGGAATCCACTATGAATATAGTGAATATTTATAGTTATATGTGCATATGTACGTACTTATATTAATTAAACGCAACATCCTTTCAACAGAGACATTGTGGATGCTGCACATTTGCAACCGGTAAGTAAGCGGGATAAAATGAATGCGAAAACGAAGAGTCGTTTGTGGAATTCAGCAGCACGTGAAGAATAGGCTGAACTCACACACTTGTATACACGTGCTTAAGGACGTACTATAGATGCAAAAATATGTATGTACATATCGTCACTTTAATTCACAAAGTCCATAACCAACACTTTTCGAAACTGCGTTTTTCACAGATTTTTGTAAAAAGTTGTAAAATTTTAGCAAAAATTGTAAAGTGATAGTACCAAAAACATCGCAGTTAGATGCCACTTTTGAAAAAGCCCTACCTGTTTTTTTGCTTCTCCTGCAAAAGAAAAAAATTTGTTAACTAGGGCCTTTGTGAATTAAGGTAACGATATATAATAATAATAGTTTTTAAATAAACTAACTTTATATGATGATGAATTTTATTTGGAGGTATGGTCATATTGACGGAGGAAGTTGGTTCATAGATAATATCTAACGAAGTTTTATTAAAAAATTTGGCTACTTTTATGGAAATCAAATTAGTTATAACCAGGGACCTATTTCATAAAAGTGACAGGTGCGACAATTGTCGATCATTCCCCCGACAGCCGGTTCTACGTACCGGAATGACTCGGGTTTTACCCGACCAAGGGCTGTTGTTTCGGCGATCTAACCCCGTTTAGGTCGGCGAAGTATCTCAGAAGTTGTTCGTCCATAGGGCTACATTCACTACGTATTCTTCTACTCAGGGCTGGCATCGAGTCAAACCCAGGGCCAGAAACCTACACCTGCTGTGTATGCCGGAGACGACTACACCACAACTCCACCTCAGTCAAGTGTAATGCCTGCGAGGGGTGGAGTCACCTCAGAGTCTGCTCGGGACTACGGACACACCGACAGTGGACCACGTCGTACGTGGCCCCCTGTTGCTCAAACAGAGCAGCCTCCACGGCTAACCTCAGTCCACCCGAGCAGCCTCACACAGTCTCCACAGCACAACAACATAACAACACAATAGACCACACCACAACCACGACAGACCACAGAACACACACAACCGCACCACCACCCACACGCCGCCGCCAACAACTCCTGGTTCCCCCTACAATCTGCACGGTATGTCAGACCAGGATATTCCGTAATGTGACATCAGTCAAGTGCAACACCTGCCTTGGCTGGTGCCACTTTAGGGCATGCTCAGGTCTGCGTACCACGCGAGATTGGACTGGGAACTTCGAGGGCCCGTGTTGCGCTGCTCGGTCGCAGACCTCAATTGCGACGCCTCCCGCCACCACCACAGGGCGGCAATCATCACAGCAGCGCACACAGCCAACGGCGGTAAGAAAACACACATCACTTACACCCCACATCACGACACGTCTCCCGAACCACATGAAGCTTCTTCAATTTAACTGCAACGGGCTACAGAGCAAGATTGAGGAGATAACCGTCTTCATGTGTCGGCATGGTATATTGATAGCTGCGGTCCAAGAGACGAAGTTGCACAGCAATTCAACTTTGTTGAATTGCGCCGGGTACAACGTGCATCGTCTAATCGAAGCAGACATCGACCGCAGGGATACCACCCTAGAATGTCAGGGCATCGCTATCCGGTCAGGCGATGTTGAGCTCGAAATATTTAACCTATACATACCCCCTGTCATCTGCTGCCCGGCAGGATATCACCCTGATATAGGTGCGCTCCTCAGAGGTGAAAACCGTATGGTAGTAGGTGACTTTAACGCGCACCACGATCTTTGGCACTCAAGCCTGTCAAACGATCGTAGGGGAACAGACTTGGCTGAGTAGATAGACGATTCGACATTCTGCACAATGAACGACGACGCACCCACCAGGATTATGGGTAACTGCAGTAGCTCGCCAGACATCACCATAGTCAGCGCTGGTCTGATAAACAGCATAACATGGCGACCTATGCTGACTTTAGCATCAGACCACCTACCCATAGTCATCTCGATAGATAAACCAACCGACTTTGCCTCCGCCAAACACAGGACCTATATCAACTTTTCTAAAGCTGATTGGAAAGGTTACGCGGAGTTTACCGAAAACACCTTCACGGCGCTCCCCACACCAACCGACGTCCATCTCGGTGAACGTAAGTTCCGCAGGGCTGTCACTGCTGCTGCAGCTCGCTTCATACCGGCAGGATGTATAACGAACCCACGTCCAAACTTGCTTGCCGAAGCGGCTGTTCTAGCCGATGAGCGTGAAGAAGTGGGAGGAGCATCTGAAGACCTGTAACTTCACCTCTGGTGTGAGCAAGCTTTGGTCAACGGTGAGGTCGCTGTCCAATCCGACGAAGCACGACGACAGAGTCGAAATTTCCTTCGGCGACCATGCTTCGTCGGACCCGGAGCGATGCGCGAGCTATTTTAGCCGGCAGTTCGTACTGCATCCTCCGGTGGACAAAGCCAAGCGTCGAGTGACCAGAAGGCTGCACAAACTGCCAACAACCTGTGCCCCCCTTGCTTTCACTTGCGGTGAAGTTCAGGTGGCCATCGGGAAGGCGAAAGCCTCCAAAGCCATGGGTCCCGACGGAATATGCATGCTGATGCTGAAAAATTTTGGTCCTGCGGGGGTAGCGTACCTAACGGAGGTCCTCAACTTGTCTATGGCCACTCTCATCATCCCAGACATCTGGAAGGTGGGGAGAGTGGTCCCACTGCTCAAACCGGGGAAGCCTGCCGACAAAGGAGATTCTTATCGTCCGATAACACTCCTTTCCCCGGTAGCGAAGACACTCGAGGCGTTGCTACTCCCGTACTTCACAAACCACTTGACCCCAGCGAAGCATCAGCATGGTTTCCGTAAACTGCACAGTACAACAACAGCACTTAATGCCATAAACATTCAGATAACTCGTGGCCTTAACCGAAACCGTCCCTGTGAGAGAACGATTCTACTAGCGTTGGACTTGTCAAAGGCGTTTGACACCGTCTGCCATTCCACGCTACTAGAAGATATAGAGGCCTCCTCTCTCCCACAGAGGCTCAAACGGTGGTCGGCAAATTATCTGAGTGGTCGACATTCGTCGGTAATATTTAGAGACAAAACGAGTAAACAGAGAAAAATAAAACAGGGGGTTCCACAGGGTGGTGTCCTTTCCGCGCTACTGTTTAACTTTTACATTTCAAAGCTCCCTCAACCACCAGAGGGAGTCTCGATTGTCTCTTATGCCGACGATTGCTCGATCATGGCGACTGGGAATGGAATTGATGACCTGTGTTCGAAAGTAAACGGATATCTCTCCGAACTTTCTCGCTTCTTCACCGCAAAGTGTCTAGCCCTCTCCCCTACGAAATCCTCCGCGACCGTGTTCACAACCTGGACGAAGGAGGTCAGGCTACCGCTGGGGATTCACGTCGATGACACACCAATTCCGACGGTGAATAACCCCAAAATACTCGGAGTAACATTCGACAGCCTGCTCTCCTTCTCTGCGCACGCAACCGCTATTGTCAATAAAGTACAGAGCCGCAACAAGGTCCTCAAGTCGCTAGCCGGCAGTACTTGCGGCAAAGACAAAGAAACGTTGCTGGCAACATACAAGGCAATAGGCCGGCCGGTTTTGAACTACGCAGCGCCAGTGTGGCCACCCAAACAGACAGCTGCTTGCAGAGGAGCCCTCGCCTAGGCACGTCAGGAGGCATCTATATGAACTGACGGACGAAGTCCAGAGGTTCATCAAGCAACCTCTGGACCCGACTGCTTACCGACAGGCCCTGAACGGCATTCACAGGGAGTCAGTCTCGAGTTATGTAGACTCCAGACCTGTGAATGCCGTTCTAGTCATACCGCCCCCGGACACAGACGAGACGGAGATTCATCTGCCTCGGGAGACGCGTACAACACTAGCACAACTTCGCTCCGGCTACTGCAGCAGGTTAAACTCCTACCTGAGTAGATTGAATGAGGATGTGCCGAATGAGTGGTCGGCATGCGGAGAGACCCCACATGACTCGAAGCATCTCTTCGCATGCCCGGAAAACCCGACAACCCTAACGGCCTTGTCCCTGTGGACCAACCCCACAGAAGCTGCACGCTTCCTAGGGTTGCTGTTAGTGGAACTTGACGACAAGGACTGAGATACCAACCGTCCTGAGCGGGGTTGTTGTAGCCGCTACAACAACAACAACAACAACAACAATTGTCGATTTTTCTATAAAATTTCACTGCCAAAATTGTCGGCGACATTTTTTCTATTTCATATGTGCTGACAATTGCCACTCTGACAAAATGTACCTGTGTACTCTTGTAACCGGTAAATTCTGTTGCCATTTCATAAGTATTACCCCGTGAAATATACAATGCTAGAATTTCCACAATTCTACATAGCTGAATTGCTGAATATTTTAACCGCATTACCAACGTACCTAGAATCGCGGTGACAATAATTCGTAAAATTTTTTGGTAATAAAGTTTTCCGCTTACAAAATTTTCTGTAACGTGCAGGATAGACCTGTTTAGAAAATGGAGACGTGGGGCTAAGAGGGGTGGTGACAATTGTTTTTATGAAACCAAACACCCACCAAACTGTCGAATTGGAAAATGCCTGAAATAGACTAGAAAAAGGCACCAAAAACCGAAAAATAGGCAAAAGAAGCATTTGATTGGATTTTATAGGGATCGATAGAAATCAATGAAATCAAATCAAATCAAAGAAAAAATTCCATAAAGTATCAGCTCATCTAAATAATTAAAGTTTTAAACATTTTTGATTTTTTTGTTATTTAATATTACGCTTAATAAACGCTTAATTTTTTTATAAAAAGATGGTTTATTATATAACAAAAACTATTTTAAAACTGTGTGTAATATTAAAAAAATGCAATAAATGTTTTTAATTAAATTTTTTAGAAGTATTTTGGGTATGCAGTTTTGTAGCCCATTCAATTTTAGTATAACAAAGTACAAGTTTGAACTAATTAGGGCTCACCGTTGATTTTTGGCATTTTTTTTGGTTAAAGCTGTTCCTTATTTTTTTCCATACAAAAAAATCCTCGCCCTTTACTACTATTGAATTTTTCCTACACTAGCTTGAAAGCAGGCGTATCCAAAATAAACTGCTATTTTTTATTCATTAATGGGACAATTCATCTAAAGGCGTAAATGCCTTCTTACAATGTAAACCTAGTAAAATTACTTAATTTTGTACCGAGGCATTTACACGTGTCCATGAATACCCATACCATTTCGCAGAGTGTGTATATTTTCAATCAACGAAAGCTAAATCTTGGTAATTTTTAATCGAAAAAATTGCTCTGCCTAACAACAGAAAAGCTGCAACTTCCTT